CTGCCGGTCGTCTCCTGGTCTCGGTGCCGCACGGCGGCATAGTCCCTCCGTTAGTGTTTCCTTTCCCCTCTCGCTACAAGTCCTGTGGCTTACGCAGGTGAGACCGCGTGGATCCGGTGCCTCTCCGTGCCTGACGTGTTGAGCCCCGAAGCCGTGATGCGTCCCCCGCGTGAAGAACGTGTATCTGCACGTTAAGTGCCGTTAATCCCACCAGTTGGTCCAGTTAAAGGCGTGCGCTGGGAATGTTCCTTTGTATCTTTGTCATTTGCAGTTATTCCTCTACGAAAAGCTGAATGCCGCTTTGGAAATGAAAATGCCTGGGGTGGTCTCGTGATGAGAACCCATTTTCATAATTATGATCCAAGAAAGGCAGAGACTTAAAATGTTATAAACAATAAAAGTGAGCCGTAGTTCCTTACACGGAACTGAAGTCCATAGTTTTGTCATCAGGACAGACAGGGATTGTTTTCAGCCTTCTCCTGACCAATGAAAGGTGCCAAATCCGGGGAAAAAAAATGACAGTTACCCTGAAGCTAAAGCTTTCTGATATGTTACTATTAGAAAACTCAGATGAGTAGCACCAGCTGTTTTAAACATCCTTTTACATTAGCGTGAGCACAAGGTTTTTACAGGCACATCTAAACTGGTAGAAAGCTGCTCAGTTTTAGCAGTGTTTATTTGTTACGTATGTGCATAGGTATTTACACGGTAATCATAGAATCATAGAACCATAGAATGGTTCGGGTTGGAAGGGACCTCAAAGATCATCTAGTTCCAAACCCCCTGCGATGGGCAGGGACACCCTCCACTACACCAGGTTGCCCAAAGCCTCATCCAGCTTGGCCTTGAACACTTCCAGGGATGGGGCATCCACAACTTCTCTGGGCAACCTGTTCCACTGCCTCACCACCCTCAGAGTGAAAAATTTCTTCCTTATATCCAATCTAAATCTCCCCTCTTTCAGTTTAAATCCATTGCCCCTTGTCCTATCACTACATTCCCTTGTAAAAAGTCCCTCTCCAGCTTTCCTGTAGGCCCCCTTTAGGTACTGGAAGGCTGCAATAAGATCACCCCGGAGCCTTCTCTTCTCCAGGCTGAACAGCCCCAAGTCTTTCAGCCTGTCTCCATAGCAGAGGTGCTCCAGCCCTTGCATCATTTTCGTGGCCCTCCTCTGGATGCTCTCCAGCAGCTCCATGTCCTTCTTATGTTGAAGACTCCAGAGCTGAACACAGTATAATAAAGTCTGTCAGTTTTCTGGACTTAAATACTGAACTTTCATGAATAAAACCAGATTGTGGGTTTGGTTTTTTTTTGGTCATGTTTGTCATTAGTGAAGAGGAACAGATTCGACTCTGTTGTTCAGCTGTATAATTCTGAGCTAAAGCTTTTTCAGATCTCAAAGTAGTGATACCTACAGATAGCTGAATTAGAAACCTACTAGTAAAACCCCAGATATCCCACTGATGAGGTGACTGATCTCATCTAAAAGATGAGAATTAAACAAGGTCTGATGTTCTGCTTATTTTCAGCCACTGAAGACTACATTCACTTTTTGCAATAAAAGAAAAACAAGGGATTTAGTTCATGAAAATCCTGAAGTGTGCACTTACATTTTATCAACTCAGTTTCCTAAATGGTCCTAATTAGCTAGGAAATTTGTCACTTCTCATTGTGTAGTACAGATTCTGTATTTTCTGCTCCATTATACTATAGGTTTGATTGTTTGAGTTTTTTTAATTATTTTTTTTAGTGATCAGTAAAAGTGTTTTTCATGAATAGCGGGCTTTGTGGCATGTTTTGCGTAGATAATTCCTATATTACGAATGCAGCATATAGCAACTCAGTGAGTATTGTGAAAAGAGCAAGAATTTAATGTAGAATTACGTTTATAAATACAGATAGAATATTAGAGAAGAGCAAATTAGACAATTTTCAGGAAGGTGTATAGTAAATCTTGAAAGTTTGGGCTTAATGATTTTGTTTTCCTTATTATTCCTGATGGCTGGAGTATGCCACTGTTCCAAGTTTGTATTTTTGTCATTCCTGGATTGCCTTACATTAACTAATACAGAAGAGATCACATCTGATCAGGCAAAAATGCGTCTTAAAAGATACATCTTAATGATAACTGAGTTTATTCAGGTTGGGACATTGTGGTGCTGAACTGTGATATCCAATTAAATCTCTCCTATTTTAAGGTGAGATTACACTGGGTAAACAGCCTTCTTATCCTTGTTGATTAATGATCTATATTTACACAGGTCTAATAGTTGCTTTAACTCACCATGTCAAAGATCATGTAATTCTAAATGGGAAATGTGCATAAAATAATAGCACTGTCATTAGAGGACTGTGTCTCTTAATTTTATTGCCACAAGAGGATGGGCTTTTACTGAATAAATAGAGGGGAAATAGAAAATGGTGCACACGCTGGTGAACTTGGCAAATCCATGCGTTTTACAAAGAGTGGAAGAGGAGGTGAGCCTACCCTTTGAGAGCCTCTGCCTCTTACAAAGCTGGCAGAGAGGAGGTGAGCCTACCCTTTGGAAAGGTGCTTGTTCCATTATAAGCAAAAGTATCTGCAAAATTTATTTACGTACTTTTTTTTTGTGGTGTGATTTATTTAACCTTTGGCCATAAAATTATTTCCAAACTTGGAACAGGTATGCATTTTATTTTGCTGTTGTGTTCTATATCGTCCCATAATTTTTGTTTTAAATTTAAGAGCACTTCAGCATTTAATTTGTTTGTAATTATTTTTTTCTGAGGGCTGGTTGAAATCAGTCAACTAATCATAAGAGGCTTTTCCATGTTCCTGCAATCCTCAGTGAATTATTAAAGTCATAGAATCTGCTGTGTTTTATAATTGTATTTAGTATTCTACTTTTTCAAATTATAAATATTTTCTAGCCAATTGTGAACTGACTACTTGAATAACTAGTACTTTTAAAACTGCCTTTTGGTATAACTAAGTATAAATTGCAAAAGCAGATTTATTTTTCAATAATATTTTCTGTTTTCATTTCTTGTAAGAAGTGTTATTTTTAACTTACTGTTTTAGTTGTGACAGTTAAAGCTTTGCAAGTCAAAACATATTTTAGCTAGAGAAAACATTACTACCTTGTCAGTGACGTGATTACATATGAAGCTTATTACAGAACAAAACATTTTTTTTTTTTGTCCTCTGTAAGTACCTTCTGGTCATCCTTGCTCATTTCAAACATCCTTAGATTGTTTGATACTTACTATAAATGCTTTGTTTAATATATGAAATAAACTAATGACACCTGGCAACTGACTGATCAGCACTTAGAATCATAGAATGATAGAATGGTTTGGGTTGGAAGGGACCTCAAAGATCGTCCAGTTCCAACCCCCCTGCCATGGGCAGGGACACCTTCCACTACACCAGGTTGCCCAAAGCCTCATCCAACCTGGCCTTGAACACTTCCAGGGATGGGGCACCTACAGCTTCCCTGGGCAACCTGTTCCAGTGCCTCACCATCCTCAAAGTGAAGAATTTCTTCCTTATATCTAATCTAAATCTCCCCTCTTTCAGGGAGATCCTTCTATCTCTGTCATCCCAAACCAACCCTTACGCTTTGCCTTTTTTTTCTTAATTTGTTTTGGCTGGCCAGCAGACCAAACTACTGTGAGTAAGAAATGTGAAATGACCTGAAGGTCTGTAGTGTGTAGGGGACAGGGAAGAAACAAGTAACAGTGTGAAAGAGAGATGAGAGGGGTCTGAAGGTATGGATGTGCAGATGCTTGAGGATGTAAGCGTAGCCTCAGCCCTTACCAGGATAGGAAGGATACACGTGCCCAGGAGTGATTTTTAGTGTTGAGGCCAAGTGATATGTTCGGCCCACTTTAATGCTGTTAAACTCTTAGCCCCAAATCAGAGAGGCCACATGCAAACCACCTGTTAATAATAATGTATTCTAACTCCTAAACTGTACCCAGGAGTTGCTTGGGTGAGTGTTGGTGGCTTGGACCAAAACAGTGCCGAGGATAATGCAAACATGTAGCCTGGCAGCATTTAGTGCTACGTCTCAATTTATTCGGATAGGGGTAGTCTGGGTGTCCAGTGAACTGAGTTAGTGGTGTCTAACAGAAAGGGTTTCCTGGGGAGAACTTGGAGCTGTTGCCTGGTGGGCTGTCAGGGAGATTGGTGTGATGGTTTATCACAGGGAAGGCTAAGGAGAACGTAATACAGTAATGGAAAGCTGGATAATGGAAAGCTGGGTTTCATCAGCTCCACTGTTTACAAAACAGCTTTTTTGTGTTAAAGTTTTTTGTAAAACATTCTGAATTTTCTTGATGAAAAGATAAAACGGTGTAATGTTTTTATTTGCCTTCAAGCTTTGTTTGGATTGCATTGGTTTTTCTCCACAACCAGGAGGGCCTAACATTTTTTTCTTTAGAGAAATGAGCTTCATGTAATTGCTTGTCTGCTTTACGTAAGATACAAATCCTGTATGTAAGCATAAATATTTAGAGATTTGTAATAAAGTTCGATTTGCTGGCAGATATTAATCTTTGCATCGAAAGCTATCAGCTGGCTGCAATGTGACTTCCTTGATGATGCTGTCAGGACAGGAACCTGATTAGAAAGGCTTTGTGGGTCATTATTATTTACATGAGCTGGAGACCTGCAGTACTGGAGTACTTGACTATTGCCCAGAAATATATAGCTGATTAAACTGCTGTAGTGTGGGTTTTTATTCACTCTCCAACAACAAGTATCAGATAGATGCTGAGATTTGGTGGCAGGGAACTTCTAATAATTTAGGCAAATAGTCTAGAAATAATTGTTTCCCTAAATAGACCTGTACTCATGCTTGATATTAATTAGCATGTCTTCAATTGTTAGCTTCAAGTCTATGGACCAGTAATGTTAATGAGAGTTGTTAATTACTTTAAATAGAATGGTGAATTCTGAGGAAGAAGCAGCTGGTGTGCTGAGCCACTTTTAACTGAGGACTGAAAATGCCAGCAGGTAAGAATGTTTTGTGTTTGATTTCCAATATATACTTTATGGTCAGAACTAGATGCAAGTGATAAGAGTTACTTCTGTCTATAAATGTTTAATGCTGCCTTGGCACTGTTTTGAGTCCATGTTTATAGCTGATTTTCGAAGCGTTGGGTTTTTTTATTATTATTTTATTTTTAAATTTAGAGGCTTTTGTAAAAATTGTACTTATAATGGTAAATATGCCATAGTGAGGATTCAGCAGCCTTTTTCAGGAGTGTGCCAGATTGCACTTTTGATTCCTTAACTACAAGTTAAGCATTACTCCAGGGGAACTAGAGCACCTACTGCTTCAAGGGTTGAAATGCTACTGATAGCAGTATCATGATTGACAGAAATGCAGAGACTCTCAGCTCCGACTGACTTCAAATCCGTGCATGCTCCTGCCTCGTACGGATCTGTCTCGGGGCAGTGCTCCTTTGGGTTCCAGACTCAGTAAGAACCCAGAGCTGCTGCTTCTCCTGGATAGAGTGTCACCTCTGTTAGCAGTGTGCTACTGTTGATAAACAACGAGGGCAATACCTGTCCTCTGCTTTGGCTAGCCCAAGTTTTGTGCTGATCCTGATGTGTGTGCTCTCCAGAATGTGCTTTTTTCAGGAAACAGGTAGATGGTGCCAGCTTCACTGACAAGTAATAGCCTGGTGTGATTGTACAATGTTGCTGAGTTATCCTGGTGTGGTTTATGTTGTCAGTGGAAATTCTTAACTGAATGCCAAGTGAATTTCTTGGTGAAATAATTCTTAGCGATAAAATAATTCTTACCCTTTGTGATTTTGAAGCATGATTACACACTTTTTTTTAGCAATGGTGATTATTGAGCTAGTGAATCACACTCTAGATTTCTTTTTGCAGTTGAAAGTGAGGCAAAGGCAAAAACCAAAGTCCGCTTTGAGGAAATCTTCAGACGTCATGCTGGCCTAACAGACAGGAAGAAATCAAAGAAGACGTTTCACTGTCAAGAGAATATTGTGGTGAGTTTGAACACATGCGAGCTTTGTTTGGTTACCTGCCTTAATGGAAAAAAGATTGAGAAAATTTATTGTAGAAAGGAGATAGAAGCATTCTAAAAAAATAAAGTATATTTCTGCACATATCCTTTGGTTTTGATGTGGCTTTTATTTGTTGTTTGTGTACCAGCAATGCGTCCTTGTAATTTGGAGGTATGACAGAATTATATAGAATATAATACTGTTAAAAAGAAAGTGGCATATGCAGGCATGCACTCATTTGAAGTCCACCAGTACTTTTTTCCTACTCAAGTTTTCCAGAAAAGTTTTAAGATTTTAAAATTCAGTATTGACTTTAGTGGGAGTTTGAGTGATGGGCTTGTAGAATTATTGGCTGTAAAAGTATTTAATTTTGAGAGTATTACATCTGTGTAATACATGTGTGATTTGAAAACTGATGAGAATTTATAATAATAGTAGCGATAATAATTTATTTAATTTCCTAGAAATTGCTGGTATAAGAATTTGCAAAAAATATTAAACAACATGTGAACCTTTTTTTTTTCCCAACTTGATCTCAGTAATCAGCATGTTTCGGCATGTGCTGAGCTTTGTGTCTGAGTGGTCCCTTAGGAATGTCTACGTAGGGAATACAGACGTATAAGGATTTGTTTTAAAGATTTTGGCCTCAGCTTGTGACTTGCACATTAGGAATTATTCTGTCACCCTGACCTTGTGGTTAGATGACATTTTTGTTTGTGGCATATCCCTCAGTAAAAGACCCTCAGAGATTCCTCTGAGTTATGGTTCATGTTGTAGCTTTTTTCCTAAACAGAAGAATAAATGTTTAACATGAGTCCTATGTATACCAATTATTAACTTACAATGTTTGGAATTTCAAAAGAAAGCAATTTGCTTAAAGGACAAGTGTTCTGTTGTTTTTTTTGTTTGTTGCAAGTGTTGCAAGTGTTCGTTGCAGTTTTTTTGTTTGTTTATTTTCCTCCTGTTAGGTTTTATGTTTTCAGTCTTTTTTGTTACAGTTGTATCCATACCAGATGCTGGAAGTGAATGTTCATTCTATAATACTCATTTAAGATGGAGTGTATTTTGTATAATATCAGAATGTTACATGGATGTATTATATATATCTGGAATACTTACATTAAACTTAGTATTGTGGTGCTTTTTTTTCCTTTAGATTGACAATTTGCAGTTGTTTTTTGTGTGGATTTTTTTTTTATTTTGCATTCCTAGAAGTATATGATATTTAGTCAATAGTTTATACAGAGAATCAACATATCTAAAATATAGCATAGAAGAGTTAGAGGGTATTTTTTTCCTTTTTTTGCTGGCATATGTGTAAATACAAGATGAAATTCTTCCTTGGGTAGGTTTACTTTTTTTAAGAAATGAGAGTTTTTAAATCTGTACCGTATAAGTATTTTGAGCACGTAATTGTATGTTCATATGCAACTACATATTAGTCATAAATATTAAGCTTACTTTGGTTTTAAAATTGGTTTTCATTCCCGAAGTATCTGATGTCGAACACTAGTGCCTTGGAGTTACCTAAAAACACTTAAAATCACAGTGAATAGAATAAAAAGTTAATGGTATACACACAAATTAAGACGTGTTTTTAGGATCAGTGTGGAAGCCTAACTGTATGATTTTGTTGAAGCTGTAGACTTTTACCAATCAAAGCACTAAAAAACTAAGAACTTGAGGAGAATGTGTATTGAAACCTAATACTGACCATTTTGAGTATTTCCTTAAAGTGTGGCAAAGTTGCAAGAGCTCATCTTGGCGTTTTGCATGCTTCAGCAAATAATGAGTCATTTCTCTGTAAGAAATAAACGTGTGTGGGAGGGGGAAGAGGAGATAGATGGAGCAGGTTGGCTGCTTTTCTTCAGTTTTCTTCACTTTATTTAATATAACTATGTAGAGTTTCACATATCTTGAAATAATGTGAAAGTTATCAGTGATGGTTGTCTTTGTGTCATGCACTTACCATAAATGGTCTCCCAGGTTTGATCAGAAACAGGTCATGGTTGAGAGCATGTTTCCACTGGAAACGTTGTAGTCTGCTGCTTTCTTTTGTCTCTAGTGAACCTAGCCTTTCTTAGATTAATAAAACGTTTTCCATCGTAGTTCACTGTTTCCTTGAAACCTGAGTTCTGGAGCTGCAGAAGGTTGCTGTGGTTTTAAATGACAGAAGTGAGGGTAAGGAGATTGCCTGCCTGTTCTGCTCTGTGTGCCCATTGCCTGGAGAGCCTGCCTGGAGAGACGGGAAGCAACTTGACTGGAAGAGGAAAGGCTGATGCTGGTAGGGCAGAATGAGTTCAAAGTCACAACTGATAGGAATGAAGTCATAACTGAATGTAATGGAGATGAAGATGGACATCAGCTGGGCCAGTGAAAGGTCCGCTTTGTTGTTCAATAGCCACAGGTGCAGTAGGTATGAGGCCTGAAGACATGGCTGAAAAACCAAGCAATTGGGACACAGTCAGAAAGCGCATTTGTTAGAATCCCTTCCAGGGCTAACAGTCCCCATATTTATTTTTTACTGGTTGTGCCTCCTATTACAAGTTGTTAGAATGAGGCAAGCCTCAGACCAGGCAATACCCAGATAGATCAATCTGTCTAAAGTCAGTGTGAAAATGATTGAGTTTGTTTGGTTCCATCTAAATTTCACGGTAGAAAAGAGGATGTTTAACTCAGAAGCTGTCAGTGAAGTTTTCTACCAGGTGAAAAGACAGGTCTGTTTATGAAGCCAAGAATTTCTTCCCTAGACCATAGTCTGACCAGCTTACAGTGTTGGGTTGGGCATGCATCCATAACTAAGATTTTGTATTCAAGGCAGGACTGCAACAGATTTATCCCTTTGAAGCCTTTCACTTTCTACCTTACTGCATCTGCTCCTTCTCTTTCTTCATAAGGCCCTGGATGACAGTTGGAGTCTGGAGTTTCGTCAGGGTACAGGTAACAGGAGTCTATCTCCAGGCTTGAAGTGTCTTGTATTATTCTGGGTAGGGTGGATGTTTTACAGAGTTCTTCTGACTAATTCAGTACTTTAGCTTCTGTCTTAGATGTAAAACAACCTGTGGAGCTTTGAGGTTGTAGAGTTTTCCCAGGGTCTGTTTTGTAGCCCTTTTTTTTTTTTTCCATATGCTGACAGGCACTGAATAATTGTTGAGATTTCTACTGGTTTTTAGCTCTTTGAGTCTTATATTTAAAATGGGAGAACTGCTGATAGTTGACTATATACTTCACCTATACATTTTCTCAATGTTTTCTGTTAAAATTTGGTGCAACTTCCCCAAGCCTGTCTTATCTGTAAATGAAAGTTGTTCTAGCTTTGAGCATCTGCATTTTGTAGTCTGATATGAGCAATGGCAGTAAAATTGGTGCATTAAAGTGTTTTTTTAAACAGCCCATGCAACTAGCCAGCATCACAAGTACATTCATTACCAATTCAGTTGTAAGGAAATAGTCTTTTCCAACCAATATGTATAAGCCCTTCGGTGGGCTGGCAATGTCCATTCCTGATATGAATGGGGGTTGGAACTGGATGATCTTTGAGGTCCCTTCCAACCCAAACCATTCCATGATTCTATGATATTTCAAGGTATGCCTGTATTACAGGAAGAAATTCAGGTGCCTCTGTAAATCTCGTAATCTGAGTTTCCAGATACCCTAGGCAAAATCACTTGATGTGTTTCCAGGTTCCATTCGCGTATATTTGAGAGGCCTTTTTGAAAAGGAGTAAGATTATTAGGTGTTGTCCTTGCTGTCAGATCTGGACTGCGAATGGCAAGCGAGGTGACCTGGAGTTGGCTCGCTGTGGTACCAGCCTTGTGTGAGCCCACCTGCCTGCACCTTAGCTGGTGGCCGTGTCACACTCTTGCTGCAGCAGTAGCACAAGTAGGTCTGCTCTCAGGGAAGAGTGCGTCCTCTGCCCTGGTGGTGTTATGTGGCCATGGAGTTTTGAAAAAACGCCTTCTCGTTTGTTCCATGCTTTAAGCTGAAGAGGTCAGGTTCATAGAATAGAATCATAGAATTGTTAGGGTTGGAAGGGACCTTAAAGATCATCTGGTTCCAACCCCCCTGCCATGGGCAGAGAAATCCTCCACTACACCAGGTTGCCCAAAGCCTCATCCAACCTGGCCTTGAACACTTCCAGGGATGGGGCATCTGCAACTTCTCTGGGCAACCTGTTCCAGTGCCTCACCACCCTCAATGTAAAAAATTTCTTCCCTTTATCTAATCGAAATCTACCCTCTTTCAGTTTAATTCCATTGCCCCTTGTCCTATCACTACATTCCCTTGTAAAAAGTCCCTCTCCAGCTTTCCTGTAGGCCCCCTTTAAGTACTGGAAGGCTGCGATAAGATCACTCTGGAGCCTTCTCTTCTCCAGGCTAAACAGCCTCAACTCTCTCAGCCTGTCTTCATAGCAGAGGTGTTCCAGCCCTCGGATCATCTTCATGGCCTGCCTCTGGACTTGCTCCAGTAGCTCCATGTCCTTCTTATGTTGGGGCCTCAAGGGCTGAGCACAGTATTCCGGGTGGGGTCTCAAGAGAGCAGAGCAGAGGGGCAGAATCACTTCCCTCGACCTGCTGGCCACACTGCTTTTGATACAGCCCAGGATACGATTTGCTTTCTGGGCTGCCAGCGCACATTGCCGGCTCATGTTGAGCTTCTTATCCACCAGCACTCCCAAGTCCTTTTCCTCAGGGCTGCTCTCAATCCATTCTCTGCCCAGCCTGTACTTGTGCTTGGGCTTACCCTGACCCACATGCAGGACCTTGCACTTGGCCTTGTTGAACTTCATGAGGTTCTCACAGACCCACCTCTCCAGCCTGTCAAGGTCCCTCTGGATGGCATCCCTTCCCTCCAGCGTGTCCACAACACCACACAGCTTGGTGTCATCTGCAAACTTGCTGAGGGTGCACTCGATCCTACTGTCCATGTCGCCAACAACGATGTTAAATAGCACTGGTCCCAGTACTGACCCCTGAGGAACCCCACTTGTCACAGGCCTCCACGTGGACATTGAACTGTTGACCACAACTCTTTGAGTGCAACCATCCAGCCAATTCCTTATCCACCAAGTGGTCCATCCATCAAATCCATGTCTTTCCAATTTAGAGACAAGGATGTCGTGTGGGACAGTATCAAATCCTTTGGATTAGTCCAGGTAGATGATGTCAGTTGCTCTTCCCCTATCCATCAATGCTGTAACCTCATCATAGAAGGCCACCAAATTAGTCAGGCAGGATTTGCCCTTAGTGAAGCCATGTTGACTGTCACCAATCACCTCCTTATTTTCTATGAGCCTTAGCATAGTTGCCAGGAGGATCTGCTCCATGATCTTGCCGGACACAGAGGTGAGACTGAGTGGCCTGTAGTTCCCTGGGTCTTCTTTTTTCCCCTTTTTAAAGATGGGGGCTATGTTTCCCCTTTTCCAGTCATTGGGAACTTCACCAGGTTGCCACGACTTTTGAAATATGATGGGTAGTGGCTTAGCAACTTCATCTGCCAGGTCCCTCAGGACCTGCGGATGGACCTCGTCTGGTCCCATGGACTTGTCCACCTTCAGGTTCTTAAGATGGTCTCGGACCTGATCTTCTCCTACAGTGGGCGGTTCTTCATTCTCCCAGTCCCTGCCTTTGCCTTCTGTGACTTGAGCTGTGCTGCTGGAGCTCTTGCCAGTGAAGACTGAGGCAAAGAAGTCAGCAACCCTCTGGAGTTTCTCCAGAGCCAGACCTATCCTCTGAGCTGCTTTTCCAGCCTAACCGCTTTTTCCAACTCAGTTCAAGCGTGTTTATAAAAAAACAATTGCTCTTAGTTGATCTGTCAGTCCTGCTTTTCAGAGAATCTGTACCAGTACCCCTGCCTCAGCCTGGGAACTAATGTGATGGTTTTTATGAACCTCTTGGCTTTTGCTTTATTGTTTTGAGACTCTCTCCCCACTTTTGTCTCTGTTTAATTCCATCATGTAATTACACCGTGTGGGAAAAGTGGCCTGAGTTAAGATCCTACAGGCTATTTATCTGAGGAATTTGTGTTTCAACTGCTGAAGCAGCTTTGTGCTGCCTGCAATATCTTTTAATGTTCCTGGAATTTACTGTGGTTTGAGGTTGTGTTTTGTTTCATTGCAAGGATATTCTGTTGGTTTTTTTTCCTACAAGTAAATCTGCTATAATTAAGTAACTGTGTGCTGCCACTATTCGTGGCACATATTTGTGGATGTACGTTTTTGTTTGTAGGCATAATAAATAAAAAGTTCTAGTAAATATTCAAGCAGGTTTTTTCAACAGCTAGGTTTCTTAGAGGAAACAATTCTTGAATATCAGAGTTATTTTAGAAACTCTTGAACAGGACAAAGACAAGGGCTTTTGTTTCGAATTTCTCAAAGAATTCTACTTCTTGGCCTTAACGGATTTATGTTCTGTCAAAGGCAAAAATGACCTTAGCTATTGGTCACTGTTGGGTCTTAATTGCCAGTGTGTTTTAATCTTCATTCTTTATACCCTGCAGTTAAAGCTATTCATAAAAATGTGGATCAGGAAGAGGAGAATCTATTAGAAAGCATCATTTTGGTTTATTTTAGTTTATACAAAGCTTGTTGATTTAATTTTTTTATTTCCCTTATTCTATTCTGTACTTCAAATTATTTATATGAAACCTTCCACATCCTCTTAAATCATTGGTTTATAAATAAAGAGGATGTTACTGGTCTATTTAAGCAAGTAAAAGATGAAGTTACAAAGACAGTTTTTTTCATGATTTGATATTGAGATAATTTATACTATTTTTAGACATAGGATGCTAAAAATGAAGATACCTACTGAAAAGATATATGAATGGCTTTAGATTTTTCTGATGTAATAGATAAGCATATATGCATGAAATTCTAGACACTTTCTTTTTTAACTCATTAGGACAGTGTTGTTTAGTAAGTTTAGTTAGTGCATTTTTAAGCTTTGTCTCTAGTTTCAGACATCAGCTTTTATTTCTGTGTTAAAATTTGTCTTGGTACGTTTTTCTTGTCACACTGCTTTTATTTTAGTGTTTTCCTGTACAAATAATAAACGTCCTTGATTTTTTTTTCTCTTCTATGTGTTTACTCATCTACTTCAAACTTTCCTTCTTTCTTCTCCCTTCTTCTTCAGTACTTACAATGCTTTTCTTGCTGTCCATGTTCTCTCTTCAAATGTTGGATGTAAATAAAACAAGATAGTGATGAAGGTTTGCAGGCTCACATAATTAAACGCATACAATATGCAGGCAGGTGACTTGCACATTGAGTGTTCTCTTTCTAGTCATGGAATATTATTCTTGCAGGTGGGCATTTTTAAGTCAGGATCCATTCTCCAAAGCATGATTGCTGTTGCAACTTGGTTCCTGTATAAGCTTGTACATTTTGGTGATTACTTACTACACGTATTGTCCCTTTTAAAAATGTTTGAGGCAAACATGATTCTGTAACTGGGAGAACTGTCCCAGCTAGAAGGGGAATATGTCTCTGTTTATTGAGGGAGGAAGGTTATCTTGGCAAAGAAAAGATTGGATGCAGATACTTTATGTTTTCTCCAACTTTTTTTTTTTATTTGTTTTCTTTGTGTTTTGAAGTCCTTTCTAATGTTTCATGTGGACACTCCAGAGAGTTTTATGTAAGACATCAGAATAAATGAACCTCAGAGATGTTATAGAAGTTCTGTCAAGGAACAGAGTTCTGTGTGTCGAGCTCCTTACAGAATTACTTACTTAATGATACTTGCTGTATTGTTTCGAGTTATCATAGAATAATTTGGGTTGGAAGGGATCTTTAACGGTCATCTAGTCCAACCCCTCTGCAATAAGCAGGGACACCTTCAAGTAGATCAGGTTGCTCAGAGCCCCATCCAACCTGACCTTGAATGTTTCCAGAGATGGGGCATTATAACTTCTAATAACCAGGAACAGAAACGTGAAGGAGGGAGGAGAGTTTACTATGTGTTTTCTAAAAAGCACCAACAATTGGCAGAAGGAGTGCAGAGCCGAATGGATTAAATGAAATTTGTCTTAGCTGTTTTTACTAGACTGGTCTTTAGATCACCTCTTCGTCATTGTACTAAGAATAATTTGTTTGAGGCTTTTTTCAACTTCATACTTTTTTAAAAAAAATAAGGCTTAATGGAAATCTGTTTTTCAGGTTTAGCTCTTTTTAATGTAATTTCATTGTCAAACTTTGGCAGGCAACTTCCAAGAGACTACAAACAACTGAGCCTGAAGCCTGTCTCTAACTTGCATTTTAAATGGATGAAAATACTTGATATCATGCTGCATCAAATCTTCCAGTCTTCCATAGTCTAAAGCTTTGGCCTCTGTTTATAGAGTAGACTTGTGGTTTTTTTTTTACTGGATGTACATACAAGTCATTTAAAAACATAGTGAAACAAAATTGAGGATGAAGTGCCCAAACACAAAATGTTGGGTTTTTTTCAGTGTGAATTTTCTATTGCCTTTCACTCTGTCACTTGTTAATTTTAAACAAGAAAATAACTCGAGCTTTGATTTCATTTTACTTTGTGTAATGTTGCTAAATAAATAACATGAAGTACTATGTTTATCCTTAGAACATAATTTTTACTACAACTGTATTTTATGTTCTTTTCATTTATAGCTTGACACCTTTAGAAGTAATATTGATCTAGCTAAGGAAAGTGTGAATGATGAAGCAATTATAAACAACACATATAATCCGGAAGAAGAGAGTCCCAGATTTACAAAAAATAAACTGAGAGAGAAAGCCTCAATTGCAGAGAAAATAAACAATGATGTTGTTAGTGGAGAGCAGAACAAGCAACCAAAGTCTAACAAGAAGAAAAAGAAATCCTTGTTACAAGAACAATTTAATGAGGAGGAAAATTTATATGAAGCTGAATTGGAGAGTTTTGAGAAAAAGATTAATGATTTTCCAAAGAAGAAAACAAAAAGTAAATCACAAACAGGTGTACCTCATCAAGAAGATGACAGAAAGATTAAAAATTCCTTGACTGAAGCAAGAGATGTAGCTGAATTAGAAGAGGAAGAAGAGCTAATTCAAGCCTATCAGCTGCACGTGGCTGAGGATGAGGCAAATGCAATTAAAAAGAAAATAAGACTGAAACTTCAAGAACAGATGTCTGAATATACCTCCAGTGTTCAAAGCCATGAAGCTGTATTGAACAATGAAGTGGGTAAAAAGAAGAAAAAGAAGAAAGAACTGGCAGTTTTAAGTGAAGCCGAAACAAGGTACTATGATAAACTGTATACTGTGTGTCTGTGAATCTTAAGCGATTTTTTTGTTTCATTTTGTTTTAAGACAGGAGAAGCTTTATGATAAACTGTACATATTATCTAAGCGTTGAGCTGGATGATTTGTCATGAATTTTCAAAACACTGTTAAGATTAGTATTTAACTCACAGATTCTGTTTAACTTTTTTTTTTTTAATATCCTTTGTTACTATCTGATGTTGATTTTCTGTGGAACTTGCTCTTAACTAATTTAAGATAATTTTGTGCATGGTTTTTGAATGATAAGTGGTGGCCCCGATCCAGCAGAAGAATATTGGCTTAGCTCTGTTCATACGAATGGTTCTGCAATTATCTGGAGACTAGGGGAAACTGAAGGGGAGTAAGAAATTAAAAAAAAAAAAAGGCATGATGCTGGTGTTGGGGGTGTTGCCTTTTCGAGATACACAGATGAGGAGTTGCAGAACTAAAGAGGAAATGCCAAGTGGATGAATAATGGTAATAAGCAATTGCATCCATACGTGCAGTTGAATGCAGTTGCTGACTACTCCTTTCCATTGCAGTGCAATGTCCCTTTCTGAGCTACAGCATCATCCTGCAGAAGATGGCAATGAAAATCAGTCATTGGAAAAACTGTTTACATCAGAAGGACAGAAACTGGAGGAAAGTGTTGAAAAACAGAAACCTAAAACAAAGAAGGTTAAAAAGAAAACCAGAAAAGGTCTGCCAACAAAATGTTAGAATGTTGTGCTGCTTTGCTGTTTTATCCAAGCTTTTTTCTTTTCTTTTCCTTTATCCGTAGTGGTAGCACAGAAGTTGTTGAGCTGTTGAAGTTACTTATGTTTCCTTAGTTACTTAATAGTATTTTTGTTCTTCCAATTCTAAGACTTATTTGTGAGGAAGTTAATTTGATGTTTCAGTCTAAAATCTTGAGAATTCATTTACTGCAAATAGTTTTGAAATTGATAAATAGTTAAAAGGTGGGTTTTTTTTAAGCATAATGTATTAATATTATACTATATATGCCACCTTAACAGTGGTGGTATTACTTAGATGCATATTCTAGTTGTCTTTTTATTATTTTATAATTTTTATTTAATTTGTGCTATAAATTGTGTATCACCACTATTTTAACCTGGTGCTCAGTTCAAACATAAGGAATACTTTTTCATGCAACTCGGTCAAATTGGAGGATTAATTTCTCCATACATTGTGGAGGCCAAAATAAGAAATTAGTTTAAAAAAAATGGAGATTGCAGAAATTGATGAGGATTAGGTCTTTTCGTATCTGTTAAGTACAGTGGTTTCACTGTAACTTGTAAATGGGGAAGTTCTGAAAACAATGTTTGGTAAATTCAGGGAAAATGCACATGGAGAAAGCATCAGTTTTTGCTTATCTTGTTTTTTATGTTTTCCTTAAGAAAACAACCAAAAAAACCCACCTTACTATAGGCTATAGTCCTGAGCAGGATGTTGAGCTATGTGGATTTTAAGTCATTGTGGCACAGAAGAACCTATGTTAATTAAGAGGGAAACCTCTGATTTTAAATAAAAATATTCAATAGGAAAAGATTATATTTATTAATGTATATTCATGTGTACATGTTTAAAATGCTTCAAATTTGATCATTTTATTTTCAACTATTACCTAAAGAACATGTTAAATATTATATTAGTATTGATTGCTAAGACAATACAGAGCATTTTTACTCCTTTAAGCTGTCGCTAGTAGAATATAGTAACCTCTATTTACGTTGTTCCTGTTTCTAGAAGAAAACACAGAAATTGCTGCAGAAAATGATGAGGAAATGAAGAATTCAGAAGTTTCAACTCAGTCTAAATTTGATTTTGATGATGATCTTGTGTTGGGAGTTTATATCCATCGATCTGATCGACTTAAAACTGATGTCCTGGTATCTCATCCCATGGTTAAAATCCATGTTGTTGATCAGAGAAATGGCTTATATGTCAAGAAGGATCATAGGTGACTTTTAATAAACTGTTTCTATTATAAATGATTACTATAAATACATAGATACTTTCCTAGAAAATCAAGTATGAAAATAGTGCTGAAATTTAAGCTTGCAAGATCGTTCATTAGTTTCTACATCTATGATAATGTGTATATACACCTACAGTAAATTTAGGGTGGTATTTTTCTTTTCTTTTTGGCACTTTTAAATGCTCTGCACAGCTGTATTGGTCTCAAGGTCCCTATGTTTACAGCACAGTTCATCCTGTATTCTTTTCAGAGAGAAAACTTCCTAAAGCTCAAAAATATGTAGAAGACAAAATTAGAATAAATAATCTATGTTAGAATAAATAAATTATTTATTAGAATAAATAATCTATCATCTTCTAGGATTCTATGATCTAAACTCTTGTAATAAATAGTGTCTGCCTTTTTCTTTTTATAAAAGAACTTTTAAAATCCTGAAGTGTTTAGTTCTTCGTATTTCCAATCACTTCATAGAATCATAGAATCATAGAATGGTTAGGGCTGGAAGGGACCTTCAAAGGTCATCTAGTCCAACCCCCCTGCAAGGAACAGGGACATCTCCAACTGGATCAGGTTGCTCAGGGCCTTGGCCAACCCGGCCTTGAACGTCTCCAGGGATGGAGCATCCACCACCTCTCTGGGCAACCTGTTCCAGTGTTCTACAACTCTCATGGTAAAAAATTTTTTCCTAATATCCAATCTGAATCTACCTCCCTCTATTTTAAAACCATTACTTTTTGTCCTATCACAACAGGCCCTCCTGAACAGCCTCTAACTGTAACTTCAGTTACTTGTTTCTAGTGTCATTATGCGTAATTTTCCTGAAAACCAAATTTTAACAGTGTTTAAGCAGTAGACTCTACCATGATCATTATGCATAAATATGGTAACAGTAACTTGATTGTTAGTATTTTGAACTTCAGCCTGTAGCCTTTCTATATACATTGCAAATTGTCTTAAACTTCGAGTGGTTTTGGAAATCAAAATCAAGCAATTGGTATTTTTTATGTTTTTTTGCTTTCAGTAATTGAAAATATTATTTTGAGTTGGTTTTTTTTAAGGTGCTATAATGATTATAACTTGTTTGGAAATTTTCAAACAGCAAGAGGAAAGTTTCGTCGTATTATGAACAAGACCAAATAGAGCACCTTCTTCCTATTATGACACAACCATATGACTTCAGGCAGTCTAAATCCACAGTTCCAGAGTGGGAAGAGCAAGTCATATTTAATGAGCGTTTTAGTTATTTTATTCAAAATACTGAAGAAAGCCCTCGGGTAATCCTGTTTTTTGAGGTAAGGTTAAATATTTTACATCGAAGTTATTCACGTGATGATTTTCTGTTTGTTTCCTCAATATTTGACTGATTCAGGTGGTTTATGGCAGTTATATTGGGTTAATAGCATAGCCCTAAGATAACAGAATTAAGTGGAGATACCAAAAAGTGGTATTGGTGATTGCTAATTACTAATAAACATTTTTGTAATAGCACCACGCACCCCCCCCCCCATTTTGATAATAGTGAGGAGGACAAAGCTTTTTTATTAAATCAGCCATCAGTCCTCTGAGGAAGGCTGGCAAGATTGTCCAGATCAGGAGGAATGGGGTATAAAGAATTAAAACTTTTTCCTTTTCCACATTTTTGAAATCCGAAAAGAAGCTTAACTACCAGAAACTCAAAGATGGAGTTTGGCTGCTTATAGCAACACCTCTTTTCCCTTGTACCAATGAGCAAGCTATTGCATTGTTTTCCATTAACATTTTAGACACCTACTTCTCTTCTCCCATTCTTCACAAAGTAATTATTAATTTGTCCTCCAATACAATTATGTTTAAAGGAAAAATTGTAGGGTATGTGTTGAAGATGAGCTTGAGCTTAAGAATGTCAGTATTTGTAAGGAGAGATTCTGTAGTATTAACCTGAAAATGGGAACCTAGTACAATAAATACTTTTTTGTTCCTTGTTTTTTGTATGCCATTCGTTTCTTGTTTTTTTATATTTCAAATAGATTGTGTGTACAGTATAACCTTATGTTTCTTTATATTCTGTGATACTCATAAATGAACACATTTATAGAATTAAGAGTTCTTAGTTGTGTAATGCAAAAGTAATTACATTTGTATGTCAAGATTCTTCATGGAAATCATGTTAATGTTGGGACCAAAAGTGTGGCTATTCTGAAACCATACTGTTTGACTTTCAGCATGGTTTATGAAATACCAATTTAAAGATAGCATGATTCCAAGTTTTTTTTGTATACCTGATAAACCTCCGGGAGTGGCTAAATATGAGAAAATTCTGGTGATTGACCAGAAAAATGAAGAATCTCGTGGACATCATCAGGAGTGTTCAAAGTGAGGTTAGACAGCACTTTGATTCATAGATTCATAGATTTCTAG